GTTTCCGCGATAGGGGCGCTTGCCTCCTTACATGCTTCGAAGTCCGAACTGGAAGGTAGGCTCCCCGCCGTGGGGCTCTCTCGTCCTCATGATCCTTCACACGTTCGGGGATCTCCGTGAGGGCATGAGAACCCGCAATTGCCCTGGTGCTTGCCGCCGTGAACAAAATCTTCAGCAGGTCATCCTGAGCGTTGAGACCCTACAGACAACAGAAAGTTATCATCAGAATATTAAAAAAAAAACGAAAGTGAATCGGTAAGGGTGAGGTCAGCCTCTCTCTTGTCGATTCCCCTCTTCACGAAGCTCCCATATGGAGTACATGGGAGGTAGGGTTTTCACCATTATCGATCAATGTTCCCGGCGCGTCCAACCCACACAAGACGATGGCATCGGACCACAACCAGCAAGGCACAATCACCCGACCTACAAGCTACAGAAAGGAAATTATGGGTTGTAAGGGAGCCTCCAACCTTTTCCTACAAAAAAGAATATTCAAGTGGGAAACAAAGGAAATACAAAATACAAGGTCGTAGCCAAGCGGACCCAGCACCATCATGTCCAATGGTCTAATCACGGGAGCGGCTAGGAACCTCAAAGAGGTCTCTTGAAATCCAGACTCTAGTGCCATCCCCTCCATGGTTGTTCTCACCATAATGATTCTTTAAGCACTTGGGAAGACCTAGCCGAGGCATGGAATTGTCTCGCTGCCTGTCTGAGTGTCCTTCACCTTGTCAGACTCATGAAAGAGCTTTGGTCAGATAAAATCAAAACTTGTAAACCTGCCAAAATAAAAGAGAAGTAACAAAGTGTCAATCCACATGCCAACGATGACCGGCCAGCCGTGGGTCGACGTGGACTGCCACCACCTAATAGAAGAACGACGTCGGGGAAACCACCGGCCAACGTGGACGCCTAGCCACCTAGAGGGATGGCTACGCCGGTCGGCAGGGGGTGACCGATTCCCTCGTGATCGACGTCGGCAGCCACCAGAATTCAGGAGCAATCCAGCCTCCTGGGCGACGCCGGCCGTTGGGGAAGAAGGCCCGGGGGATGCCGTCCAGCGGAGGATTTGACGGGTTGGCCGCCTGAGAGAAGGTCACCATCTGACATGGGGGGCGTCGAGCTTCCAGTCCGCCTGAGAGGACACCATGCCGGCCAAAAGTGGAACGACCGCCGGCTGAGGGGATTGGGTCGGCCGGACATGGGGGTCCAGACCCGCCGGCCAGATCCGCTGGATTGCAGGGGAGACGTCGGCCACTGGCGGTGGTGCGGAGCAGCGATTGAGCGCAGCGGGGGTCGACCCAGGAGCCGCCGAGAGAAAACCGCCGGTCAAGCCAGTCAGCTGGTTGACTGCGGCGCTGGTGCGGTGCGAGGAAGACGGACGCAGACCAGGGGAGAGAAGAGAAAGAAAAGGAAAGAAAAAAGAAGGAAAGAAAAGAAAAGGAAAGAAAAAAGAAAAGGAAAGAAAAAAGAAGGAAAGAAAAGAAAGGAAAGAAAAGAAAAGGAAAGGAATTTTTGGGAGCCTGATTTAATTTGGGAATTTCCATAAACTCCGGGATTCACATAATCCACAATTATGGTTCCTTGATATGTGAATATTTTTAAATCGGCAGCTGACTTAAACTACTCCCTCTTAGCCGAGTCTACTACTCGACTAAGGGAGTGGGGGACTCATGATGGGGTTATGGGACTAGGTCCAGAGCCTAATCGGCCCAGGCCTCGGACTTGGACCAACAGGCCCAAGCCCAGTGATCCAGATTCCAGAGCTCATTCCGACCCAACCGATCAGGCCCATCAAAGAGTGAAAGCCCAGGGCGGCCTGCCGTCCAGCCCAACAGGGAGCCTGCCTACCAGCCCAGTCAGCAGTCTGCCTTCCAGCCTACCCGGGAGCCTGCCTTCCAGCCCAGTGGGGAGTCTGCCTTCCAGCCCAGTGGGGAGCCTGCCTTCCAGCCTAGCCAGGAGCCTGCCGACCACCAGCCCAGCTGGGAGCCTGCGGTCCAGCCCAGCTGGGAGCCTGCGGTCCAACCCAGGTGGGAGCCTGCCTCCAACCCAACGGGGAGCCTGCCTTCCAGCCTACCCGGGAGCCTGCCTTCCAGCCTACCCGGGAGCCTGCCTCCAGCCCGGTCAGAAGCCTTCCTCCAGCCTAGCGGGAAGCCCACCGTCCAGTCCAGCAGGAGGGAGCTCAAGCGTCCAGCCTGCCAGCCAGGCTGACCTGCCAGCCAGGAAGAGTAACGGCCAACAATCAATGCGCGACTTAATTATGTGTTTAATTCCGTATTAATGTTGTAATTAATTTAGTCATTATTATGTTCGGCAGTTACCATTTGTAATCGCCTATAAAAGGCAATTCGAATTTCAAATACAGATATGCTATTTCTGGCTAACTTTCCATATTCGTACTTTCCTAATTCTTGCTTGAGTGTCGTATGTAGCTTTCCTAAAAGCCTACGAGCGTCCTATTTTGGACCAACACTTAACACTTTCAAATAATACTTTACTAGCTTAGCCAACCGCCGGAATACATCATTAAGTTAAATGCTACAAAAGAAGGGGGACATTTGAAAAGCTTTGGCATCATCAAAACTGTTTATCAAAATCTAGGAGTCTAAAAAATACAAATGCCTATGGTCCCATCTGTGGCATTATTAGGCTAAATAATGGGAGTAGGGTTTTCTTTTATAATTATACATCATATAAATTATTGGGACCTTCCTACACATATTAGAGATCTAAATAAATTGATTGGGCCAATCTTTCCACTTTTGGAAGTATTAGTGTATATTTTGCTCCCAAATTAATTAAGGGACATAAGAGTGGGCCCCACACCTTCCCAGCACCTGCAAATAAGTACAATATGTTAGAATGGGGGAGGGGGTCGGACATATTAGACTTGAGGGCTGCACATGACAAAGAGATCAAAAGTGAGAACACACCCTTGTCTAAAACATCTCATGGAGATCATACCAATTCATTCCACCCCACACAATTTATCTAAACTTATTGAGGGGTCTTAGATGCTCCTAAAATCCCCCCATTTGCACTCCCACTCATTTAGAGAAGGATAAGAACTCATATCACAAAAGAGAGGTGGAGAGCGTTGCTGGCCGCACAGCTGAAGTCCATCACATTGTTTGATTTGTATCTGGAACTATACTCATCCAAATAAGGCGTGTTAGGTGCCCAAAGAAATCTCTCAAGATAAGGAATCCATAGAGGTACGGTTTGCATCAATTGGAGCAGTTTAAGCCCTCCAAATCATCGAAGGAAAACGATACCTCACATATTACATTTTTGCATTCAAAGTAAATTTGAATCCAAAACTTTTTCTTTCGATTGTCTATATCATTTAAATGATTGAAGAACTATTATACACTGTTTCAAGTGTATAAAATGTTATTATAAAGTTACTTTATTTGTTGTAAGGGTTAGATAATAACCTAGAACAAACCTTGAAAAGTTAGGAAACATTTTCGCCGGAAAACACCCATTCTAGGGGCTGTTTTTGCATCATTGGATTAGTGTTGAGCTAACACCTTGAGAAGGCTGTTCAACAATCAATTCTAATCAAGAAATCAGTTCTCAAACTTTCTTGGGCTAAAGGGTCAAATAGGTACATGAACTAACCTAAAGTGTTCAATTAGCCCCTTATATAGGAGGTTCTGCCCGACCATCGCCAATTGGGGCGGTTCCCGGTAAATTTTTTTGAAGAAATTTTTTAAGCATCTTCTTCATTAAGTCTAGTTTACCCATATCAAATTTGAGCTAAAATAAATCGGGAAGGCAGTCAAATGATTTTTTGAAATGTACTGCGCTGTTTAACTGCGCAGTTATCTTCAAAAAATCATTTGACTGCCTTCCCTGTTGAATTTTTACCTGAAATTTGGTATGAGTAAACTAGACTTAATGAAGAAGATGCTAAAAAAATTCATCAAAAAATTCCACTGGGAACTTCCCCAATTGGCGACGGCCGTGCAGAACCTCTTATATAAGGGGCTAATTGCACACTTTAAGTTAGTTCATGTACCTATTTGACCATTTAGCCAACTTTCTTGGCCGAAGCTTTGGGCATTGGATTGAGAAGTAAAGGTTTAAAGCTCATTTAAGGTGAGGATCGACATCTAGTTGCTTATAACTTGTAGGTTAAACATGAGTTTACCTAAATGTGTAAATCATGTTTTTCATGGATTATGATGATAAATTATTGATGAAATATTGATATAGTTGCCAAAGAATGAAATGAGAAATGATTTGGAAACGTATTGATAAAAATGAAGTTAAATGAACTATTGTGTTAAATAGGCATTTTACTCATGTGTGAATTCTATAGATACATAAATGATCATTTATGTATTAGATGAGTTATTCACCCCAAAAACTACTCCAACCCAATGTATTCTGAGAGGGTGTCAAAGTGGGTATATGCCACTTTGTGGGTGGGAATTAGATGGGTTATTCAACGAAGAGAGAGGATAAGAATATAAGTGGGCCCAACAAAAATAAAAGACCCTTTTTCTTTATAAAGTAATATCTTTTTTATTTGAATTTCAATTTTCACAAAAAATATATGATAATTTTTTATAATCTTTCATATAACACCAATATCACATATATATATAAAGTAAATATAAAATATGAAATTTCACTTGTTGGGGGTTTTCATGTCCAAATTTTTTAAATAAATTCAAATGTTAAAAAATTAAGATCTGATGATTAATTTTTTAACATCTTTCATTTAAAAAAAATAGGTCCAAAGTACATTAAAAAAAATTAAACTCTAAATTTATATAATTTTACATCGGAAGGTTTGACTTTTTAAATCATAATTAATTGCAATAAAATATTACAAAATATCTTATGTATAATAATAAAGTACGATTTTAGTTAAAAAAGCTTTGCTAAGTGAAAATATTAACGTCACGAGATTGCACTAAAAACTGAATTTACGGAGTGAATATGTATTAACATATCCAAAGTTTAATTTATTGAAGTCTGATTGTGGTTAGCCCTTATACGGAGTACGACGGTATTTCACTGTGAAAATCAGTCCTCCACATTTTGGTGGTTGTCATCAACGCCATTGAAGAAGAGATCTATTGTCATGAAGGAGCAGTCCATGTCGTCCAAAACCCTCGACCCTAGGCGTGCTATTGAGAGCTGTATATTTCACCTTCACAGTTGGAGACCCTTTCAGATTCAATCCAAAACCCTAGTCACGGATTCACCTCGTTCACCCACGCCCTATGCTCCTCAAGGTAATCGCTTCTTCAGCAAACGGCCCTGCCGCGATGATCGAGCGACGTCTTTTCCAGTTGACGCCCTCGACATGTCGAAACTCAGTTTATTTGAGGACGACCGATCCTTTTCCGTCCACAAGCGGGATAGCAGCCGCTGGATGGCTGGAAAACGTCGCCGTCGAGGATCGAAGTCGGTTTCTGGTAGAAGCAGCGAGCGCAGTGGGACACGACTGAGGTGCTGTTCTGTTGGGGCATCGGCGGCTTGCGGAACCTGTTCTGATTTTCCGATGGCCCCTGGGACGGATACCAGCGGGGAGTTGTTCGTGAATGGGGATGTAAATTGGGCGTCTGATGTGAGTGAAGCCGCTAAAACTTCTAGGAGAGAGAGGGAGAGTGGAGTTGCAGATAGGGAGAATTTGAGTGTTGCATTTCAAATTGGCAATTTTGAAAGCCAAGGTAATGAGTCTGGGTATGGAAGTGAGCCAGGCTATAGAGGTGATGGTGAGATAGGATATGGTGATGAGTTGGATGAAGAAGAAGAAGATCAACGGCTCTTAATCTGGGGCCATGATTTTGGAGGTATTCTCTTAAACATCTTTATTGAGTCCTAATAACATTGGTTTAGTTTATTCCTTTTGAAGCTTTTGCATTCTTTGTCAGGTAAAAGATATTGCCAACTAAAATAACTAATACAGTGATACTTAAACATGTTTGAAATATATTTATACCAGTGTTAATTTATCCTGTCTATTTTAGATAAAGCCTACTTTAGATAATGCCTAATAGTCTATGTTGCACGGAATCATGAAAATCTTGGCGAAACGGGAAAAAGGAAACTTCATTAGTGGTATATATTTCACTAATGAAAGATTAAGCTATCCACCTATTTTAGTGGGCTTAAGGTCAGTGGCAGATCCAGAAAATTTGGCCAGTGGGGGCAAATTTACACTAATGTTATCAAAAGAATTAGGAAATAAATATTAATTAAAATATCCACAGTATATTAAAAAATAAACTAATTTTATATAAGACACAAATGAAATATTTAATTATAAGTTTATAACTAATTTAAGTTACAAATAAACAAGTGTGTTTTAATACTAAGTGCAAAAAGATGTGATTGAAATTACATTAAAATAAATTATTTTAAACTAATTTGGATCTTAGGTTTAGAAATTCCATTCTATAGTTTATTAAGTACAAAACCAAATATATATAAAAATGGATAAAATATGGGGGAAAAGTGCAAATAAGCCCTCGAACTAACTGAAAAAGTTCAAATAACCCCTTTTATAGGAGGCTCTGTTTGGCCGTTGCCATTTGGGACGGTCACCGGTGGAATTTTTTGATGAATTTTTTTGAACACCTTGTTCATTAAGTCTAGTTTACCCATACCAAATTTTAAGTAAAAAATCAACCGGGAAGGCAATCAAATGATTTTCTGAAATATACTGCGCTGTTTAACTGCGCAGTTATCTTTAAACATTTATTTGATTGCCTTCACGATTGAATTTTTAGCTGAAATTTGGTATGGGTAAACTAGACTTGATGAAGAAGATGCTCAAAATATTTCATCAAAAAATTACACCGGGAACCGCCTCAAACGGTGACGGCCGGACAAAGTCTCCTATCAAGGGGGTGATTTGCACTTTTTCGGTTAGTTCAAGGGCTTATTTGCCCATTTTCCCTAAAATATGTAATCATAAGTGATCTACATTAAAATGAAACAAGTTTTAATATTAAGTATGAAAAGAATTAATTAAAATTACATACATAGTATCATTTATTAGGTACATTAAAAAATTAATTGGAATCTTATATTTGCACAAATTTTATACAGTTGTAAGAGGGCAAAAAATTCAAATAGGAGGGGGAGGGCTGGAGAGATTCGAACCTTTGACATCCGGGAAGAGTGCATAAGCATAACACTTCAGCCAGTTGGCTACCGAACTAGCTTTGAAAATTTCAGACTTCAAGCATTATTATACTATATATACGAAAATGATATATATACACACATAAAATTTGATATATATATAGTGGGGTTGAGTGGGGGCAGCTTCCCCCCTGCCCCACGCTAGATTCCCCTGCTTAAGGTATGCTTTACATTCAGTGTCTTAACCTACCGGAAATGCTTTTAGCATATAGTTTGTGTTCAAACTCATTTTCTTATACTCCCTCCTCTGTTCCTAATTAGTTCTCCCGGTAGTTTCAGATAATGTTTGTAGGGGTTCCGTTTTGCTCTTTAGGTACTGAACATTTTTTGGAGGTGTACTGTTGGTCTGTGGCAGTTTTTTTATTATACCATTTCCAAAAGGGTAAGTGAGGCATGCTATTTTGAACGACACAAAAAGGAAAGTGGATAGCTAATTAGGAACAGAGGGAGTGCATTTGATCTCCTTGTCATTTCATGTTACCAAAGCAATACTATGAAACTCTGGGTGACCAAATTTAATCCTTCCGATCTCTCTCTCTCTTGTATATTTGCATTTGCAGTATCTAAGGCAGAGAAGAATGCAGTACAAAAAGCTCATCATAGATGCCGGCGCAGGAAGAGTGATATGAAAATGGTGGTAGATCTCATGAGATAACATCCCATTGTATGTCTTGGTTTTTTTTAGGTTTAGTTGATTTTACTGTTTTACCCATGTGGCTTAGATTTACTCTCTGTCACACACAAAGTGCGTGATAGATAACATGGTCTGTGCAGACCCTAACCTCATGAGTAGCTCAGTAATAACAGGACTTACAACAAGAGTCTATCAGGCTGTAAGTGTATATGTATGTATCATATTGGAGCTGTGTTGTATGCTGTACAGGTACATTAAGAACTACCAGTATTTGACAACCAAGCATTCCACCTCAGCTGGTTGTGGCGTTATTGTGTCTAGTGGAAGGTCTCGAGTTCGAAACCCGCTAGACACATAAGGGTTTGAAACTCAATTGAGTGAGTTTTAGCCCTAATTACTTTAGGTCCCCAGTCCCCCTCCCCCAGACCCCCCTAGAATAAAAAAAAACGACGAGTATTTGACTCGTGCGTGGCACAAGAAAAACATATATCGGTTAAGTAATTCTTTCATTGAACATACAAGTATATTTTATGCATTAGATTGTAGAATTTAATATCATTTGGTTGACAATTATGGTCAGAAATGATGAATTTCAATCCACAGGACTCGTTAATCAGTCAGAGGTATATTGTCTCAAACTTACAAATTAACCATTTTCACTAACATACTTCATAATATTGTTATTGATCATATCTCAGCCTCAAATAATCCACCATTCTTAAATTCTAGGTATGATAAGCCAGGACTAACTATCAAAGTCCAAAAACAAAATTATGAACAAAAAGTAATTCTTTGGAAATATGAACTGGTAAGCACAATTTATGTGAATTCCTTGACCTATGTTTCCCATAAACCATAAACATTTGGCTTGCTGATCTGTCTAAAAATAATAAGGCTTCTCCATTCGTCAGCTTTACAAAGAGGACATATTGAGGGAACTGAAGCATAAAATCTTGTTTAAGTAAGAGTGAAAAGGAAAGCAGTCCAATCATAAACTTCAGAGAAAGGCACTGAATTGTTGGCGTTTTCTAAGATGCCAAACGTATTATCTTTCAGGGAGAACTTATTATATCTAACCATTCTAGCGCATAATACAACCTTACTTACATTCACAACCGAGCTAGTGCGATTGAGCCTTTCTTGGTAGTTCATTGCCTCTTCAACCTTCTTAAGTTTAAGCAATTTATATTTTCATCTTCAATTCAACCTGATCCGGAAACAGAAAAATACATGCCTATAAAAATTGACAGAAAAAAGATAAAAATGCTGCCAAGTGATTCATCCGAATGAAGGATTTTATCATCTATATATGTTCTCACAAATAATTAACATACATATTCAAGGACATTTTTGAATTTGAGCCATTTGATTATTTATTTTTATATGCAAGTGCAGGGAGCTTTTTAATAAGATATTGTATTTACTATACCACGTAAATCACCTGAAATTGTGTGAAATTAATTTGCTGAAAATCAGATTTCCCCCATACTTTTCTGAATGAAAATCAACCTTAAATTAATCTGTTTAAACCAATTAGTTATATAACTAAGGATTTGTTGATGGTGATTAATCCACGTTTAGAACATGGAGTCATGGATTTCTTGTTGGTTATAAAATCAAGTTTGTAACATGGATTGAAAAGGGAAATGCAGATTCATATAAGGGTTCATAAGACAAAACTAAGCAAAAAGACAAATACTTAAGAAGTTTTCTACACATTCGCACACAGACTTGCAGAAAATAGAAAGTTCTAAAATAAAACCAGAAAATAAAAAAACTCAAAAAAGAGTTCCGAATTTTTCATTCAGATTTTGCCTTATAGGCTGCATTTTTATAATCCATTGTCTTGATAGTTCATCTACTAAATCGGATTTAAAGAAAAAGTTATGATATTTGGTATTCCACCAAACCTGATCAGAGAGGCCAACCCCACAAAAGCCCATCTACTTCCAACTGTTGCCATATCTGTCATGTAAAATCCTTTCCTCCATTTTTTGTTTACCCACTTGCAACCCGCACGGGTAGCTCAGTTGGTCGAGTGATGGGAGATTTGGAACAATGGACCAAGGTTCGAATCCCCGCAGCGACCGGGTGGAGGTCACAGAACCTGAAATAAGACTAGGCCTCTGGTGCGCACGGATGTATGGGCCTACTACCATTCTGCTGACTGAGTCACCGTGACTAACCTTCCCACCATCCTGTCGGGTCGGGGTGGGGGCTCCTGGGTTGGGAGGTTCCACCTTTTGGAACAATTGTTTACCCACTTGCAAAATGATTCATCAACTTAGTATGATTGCTGCAAATACCGAGTACCAAACATTTGAAGAACAAAATTGATTACTTTGATTGAAGTACTCTAAAGGCATTGAAACAGAGGTCCATAAACCCTTTGAATAATACATTTGAGCTCCCCTTAATGGCTCCAACTACTGCACTTATGTAAAAATTCTTCTCCCAGTCATCCATAATCCATTAACATCACATAAAAATGATAGGCATAGCTTCAACAAACAATAGAAATTAAATCTATCAACCAAATACGTTTCAAATACTATCCAGCAATCATGTAAAATTTCATCAACTTCTGAAATTCAAAAACTGATTTTGAAAAAAAAAATAGTTTACTCAATCTGTGTAAAGCTCAGGTCATAAATAACTCTTTCAATCAATGATATTGAGAAGTAGAGGTGGCATTTCAATCTGAGTAAAAGCTCAAATCATAAATAACTCACTATGTGTTGTTGTGTAGAACCTCAATAATTAATAGACTTTTCAATGGTTTTGTTTCAATACATTGATTTTTTTTTCACTTGATAGAAACACTACACCTCAACTGCAAAATTCACATTAGATCTGAATTATTTTTATTCTAATATAAAAAACATGTCAATTGGATCCGTAAACTAAAAAACCATTCCCTTTCAACTCCAATTTGTAGATTCATGTTAGTTGACCCCAAACTCTTTTGGGTCTTAGGCTTGGATGTCATTGTTATAATACAAAAAACATGTCAAGATTGGATCTGTAAAGTACAATAACAACAAAAGTGGTGGAAGATGGGAATAAAAATGGAACAGAAATAAACTTTTGAGTGAAACCAAACCAAATGCATACTATTACAAACAAATCGTTTGGGGATTGTGCTACAGAGGTGTCACGAAACTAAGAATAACCAAATTGGATATGAAATATGGGTGCAAGTCATATATAATGTACTGGCCTGTACGAAAACTTCGTGTTGTACCGGCATTACTGCAGAAAATATAAACATATTTATAAATGGAGTAAGTCTTTTTATTGGTAGGGAAGGATCACTTTGGACTGGGTTATTGATAGGTATCAATCCAAACAGTCAAAACAGTAGTATATTCAATCAAGGAAATACAAAGCAACAGAAGAACGTAATAGAAGAAATATAGAGGCAAGTTCGAGAGTGCCTATCTCTCCCAAGAGTCCCAGATCCGTTCCCAATTTCTGCCTGCCCATTCTACTCCTATTTATTCTTTTTTCATTTGGGCCAGCCCACTTGCTATTTAATTCAGGGCCTAAACTCCTTTTATTGTACAATATTGAAAGACTAATACGTAGTATTATACTTATTACTAGTACTCCTCCCTTTGACAAACCACCTTGTCCTCAAGGTGGGGAGTAACTGAGTAAGAACAGCCATGCAGTACGCTTTATCCTTGCTCCTCTGCCTTCCCAGTACTTCAGCTTCTTCTGAACCTTTAGCTTCGATAGTTGAACCTTCATTATCACTTCCGAGACAAGCATTTTTCTAAGGTCTTCACAGCCTTTTCGTAGATCACATTGTTGTCCTGAATCTGGAAATTTGCAGTCTTGTCTAGTACTTCATAATTGTCAACCATCTGCACATATAACTGGATCCCACTATTCAACCCCATTTCCTTGTCCGCTTCGCCTACTTTTAGAATGTTCTGGACCCTTTGAATGCAGATAGTAACAATTTTTTTATCCTGACAGAACAAGAGATCGTAAAGCATCTTAATGCAGCCGTTCTAGCCAAGCACCTAATGTGATCATGAGAGCCTCCCGAGGTGGCCTTAGAGATAGCTCCTGCAGCCTCTTTCTTGTTGTCAACTTCTACATCATGAAGGAAGTGTACCAAAGGAATAATGATAGTTGCCGCAATAATTGCACTTGTAAAATTTCTAGTCCCAGCAGTGATATTAGGTATTGTCCAGCAAACTTGAGTCCAAACTTCTTCCTCTTTCATATGGATGAATGGCTGATAAACTGACAATACACCTTTGACCAGGGCAAATGGAGTGGGTGGCCTGCATCGCCATAAGTTTGATAAAGTCCTTGTAGAATTTGTCAACATAAAAAGCTCTGAATGCTCATTTGACTGAACTAGCAATGGTAGTATTGCACCATGACCAAGACCTTGATCGCTACAACTTGGGGCACCACAAGAAACCTTTCCTGAAGCCCAGGTAGCCTGCTCACGAAACTCATCATTTGGAGGGCTGCGTTCAATCGACAACAGCTTTCTTAATGGTGTTGTTGCTTTAATTCTTGCAAATGGATCCTCTGCAGCTTCAGCAACTGTCCCTTCAAGCAAAGCAGCCTTTGAAAGTCAGCTGGCATAAAATGTGAGTAGGTTTGACTCCCCTTTTAATATGGAAGACAAGTGTTTGTTCTCCAGCTCCCAGACCATAAGGCTTTCAATATTGTTCCCTCCAACGACCTTCAGCCTACCCTCTGTGATCCCAATAGTGGCATACTGGCAATCAACTCCTTAGAACCTTCACCATTAGGAACTCCAGAAACAACCTGCCCCGGTTTCAGCGACACAGTTGTAGGTGATAATGCACCAGTTCCTATCCTTACTAGAAAGAGTTGTGACTGATCCATTATGGGAGTGGCCTCAGTTAAAGATACAAAAACATCAGGCCTAGGATTCATCACACTAATATTGGATTTCCACTCAAGTGCTTGAATACTCTCTGTGTGATTTTTACCTGATCCTCCAGTTGCATTGACAATTGCTCTTTCACTTTTCTCGAACGAATTCCATTTTCCTCCCGCTCATGCAGATTCGAAGCAACCAACGATGACAAGCTGTGAGAAGCGGCTAGGAAAGACCCCTGCGAACTGGAAATATATGATTGTTGGAAAATTAAATGTATTTCAAATAAATTAATTAGTTACAAATGTTTATTTAATTGAACGTAACAAATGTTTATCTGGCTAACGTGCGTTTGTGCGGCAGAACTCCTTCACATATGCATGAAGATGGAATAAGCTGCTGCCATGCAAGTAACAGAGGAACCGAGAGATGCTTTTTGCTTTGTCTTTTAAGCCGGCCTCCAGAGGAAGGTAAGTCAATAGCTCAACTCCAAGAAAGGTGCTTCTAAATGGCCCCTTGTTTGCTGATTGAAGAAAGCCTACTGAAGGGCGCCAACAATGCTACGAGATTATGTTGCATCAGAGAGCTTTGAGCCAGACGCAAGGGGTGTGGGACATGGCTTGGATGATACGGACGAGTCTCCATGCCGCTGCAAACTGCGGGAGAAAAAGAAAGAAGCTGTCCGCCGGAGTGCAGCGTATTTGCCAACCAAAACTGGACGGCCAGGAGTAAACGATGAAGTCAAATCCCCAACAATCTCTGAAAGTATATTTGGACGAAGCATGCTCCTGCGATTCCAGTCTAATGGACTGCTGAAATCTTTGTTCACAAACAGGCTGCCAAACTTGGTATTTCTGTTCATTACTTTAGTCTTGACAATTTTATATCTACGTGAATCTGCATGTGTTATGTTATTGCAATTTGTGATAATTTTAATTGCTACCCTATTCACAACAAGCCTTATTTTAATCCCACTTATTATAATATATGTCATTTTATGTGATAAAAAAATAACTATGAAAAACAACAACCCACTTAAATCAAAATTAAAATTGATTAAAAGTGATGACATTTTTATTGCGGTTGTTTCTCAAAATTGTAATATAAATGATGTGAATGAATGGATGGTAGACTCTAGGGCTACCAAGCACATTTGTTAAAACAAAAATGCTTTTACCTCCTATACTACTATGGGAGATGACGAAGAGCTCGTGTACCTAGCGGACTCAAAAACCGCAAAGGTACATGGTAAAGGGAAAGTTCTTCTTAAACTCACATCGAGGAAAACTTTATCATTAAATGACGTGTTATATGTGCCTGAGATTCGAACTAATTTAGTTTCGATTTCTCTCTTGTTAAAAGCTGGGATTAAAGTATCTTTTGATTGTAACAAAATTGTTATGACCAAAAATGATGTTTTTGTGGGCAAAGGCTATTGTAAGAATGAATGTTATGTGCTTAGTATTCCAAAATTAATGCATGATAATGCTTCTGCTTATTTAATTGATTCATATGATGTGTTGCATGCAAGATTAGGACATGTGAGTGATTCTTTTATTAAATTGTTGCGTGATCGTGGTTTGATTTCTAGTAGAAAGAAATTGACTCTAGAAAAATGTGATATTTGTGTTGAATCAAAACAAACCAAAAAATCATGTCCTACCACACATAGGGAATCAGAATTGCTTGAATTAATTGACACAAATTTAGGTGATTTAAAAAATACCATGACTAGAGGTGGTAATAAATTTTATGTCACCTTCATAGATGATTTTTCGAGATACACTAAACTTTATTTGCTTAAAAGTAAAGATTAGGCTTTTGATAAATTTTTAGTGTATAAATCCGAGGTGGAAAATCAATTGAATGGGAAGATTAAGAGAGTGAGAACAGATAGATGCATCGAATATATTTTAATAAATGATTTTTGTGAGAGGGAGGGGATTATCCATGAGATAACTCCCCCGTATTCGCCTGAATCCAATGGAATAGATGAGAGAGAAAATAAGACATTAAAAGAGATGATGAATTGTGGGGGGAGGCTAGGCTATTCTTTCTGCTTGTCACTTACAAAACAGAATTCCATATAAGCATAATAAGAGAACACCTTATCACCCCTATGAATTGTGGAAAGGTCATGCACCTAATTTGAAATATTTGAAAGTGTGGGGGTGTTTAGCTAAAGTCTTATTGCCTGATCCTAAAAAAAGGAAAATTGGTTCTAAGACATCTGATTGCATTTTTAGTGGTTATGTTGATTCTAGTGCTGCTTATAGAATTCTTGTTTTGAAAAGTGATGTGCTTAATTGCAATACTATTATTGAAACAAAAAATGTTGAATTTTTTGAGAGTGTGTTTCCTCTAAAACCAGAATACAAGACCGTTGCGCCATATCGTGAAAGTGAACCACTAAAAGAAAATGAAAGTTTTAATGATGAACCCTCTAATTTGAGAAGTAAGAGGCCAAGAATAGAAAAATCTTTTGGAAATGATTTTATATATATCTTGTTAATGATGAACCTTTTACTTATTCACAAGCTATTTCATCAAAAGAGGTTCCTTTTTGGCTTGAGGCAATTCAAAATGAAATTTATTCTATCCAGAAAATAAAACTTGGATTTTAACTGATTTGCCTAAAGGGTGCAAACCAATCGGATGTAAATGGAATTTTAAAAAAAATCTGGACCAAATAGGCGATCCCAGGGCGTTGTGAGAAACCTTCCGCCACTAGGCGAGCCTTATACCTTAAGACTTCATTCTTCTCATTACGCTTTCTGACAAATACTCATGATAGAGTATTAACTCCTAGAGAGAAGGGAGAGCTAGAGAGATAAAGTGATATATATAATGAATTTCCAACCCGTATAACTACTCCCAAGGGGAGTATTTATAGAGAAAATACGGGCTGGGCTCCCAAGCCTTGGGCTTGGGAGGCCCATTTACAACTGGACCGCTACTGGGCCGAATACAAAGCCACTAATGGGCTGTACAAATGAGTAAGTGTAGAATCCGGTTCTGTGGAGTCTTCGTGGCCGACGAGGGCGTGGCCGACGAGGGCACGGCCGACGAGGGCGCGGCCGACGAGGGCACCCGGGTTCCTTGGCTTCAGGACCATAATCTGAGTTGGCACCTTCCTGGCCGACGGGGGTCCCTTGGCCGACGAGGGCGTCACTCTGTGTCTTGTGCTTTCTGTTCTTCCGAGTATGTGGGTCCAGGGGCTCAGACCCATATACTCCATCAGGAGTCCCCCACTCTCTAAGCTGAGACGTAGACGAAGTGAAGGAGAGTAGATTCCCGTGCTTTAGTGCTTTTGGCCGATGTGGGCATTCCCAGGCCGTTAGCTGTTGCGGCATTGGCGCTGTTTCCATTTTGGTGATCCTGTTCTGTGCTTTGGCCGTTACCTGCTCCTCGCTGTGGGCGGGGAGGCCGTTGTTTCCTTGATGTGTTCGTTTGGGGACGATGAGTGTCCTGCTTCAATGGTGGCCGTTTGAAAGGCGCGCTTTCCCTTTCTTGGACGTTGATGGTTGAAGTTTACCTTTGGGCCGACGAGGCCACTGAGGTTGAACCTTGTTTCGAGGACGATGGTGTCCTTCCCTCTGGGTGGCCGATGAGGGTGTTTGCACACTCCTTTTGGCCGTCGCTGATTTGCTTTCGTGTTCTTGGCCGAAGAGCCCCTTATGGTTAACTGTTGGCAGGGGATGATGAATGTCCTTGCCTTAGGTGGCCTGTTGGCCGTTGTTGATGATGTTATGTGCCTCCGGCCGATGAGGCGCCATTGTGATGCATGGACGATGTGGCCATGCTTTGTGGTTACATTCATGTTGTATTGTTCCTTTTTGTTTTGTTGAGGCCGGTGTAGTCCCCCAGTCCCCCACTGCTTCAGGCCGAAGAGTGAGAGGGGTGAAGGAGTTGCTTGAGTCCCTGGCCGAAGCGGCCTCTTCGTAGTGCCCCTGAATCCAACTCTCATGGCGATTTTCTGGCCAAGGTAACCCTGTGGGAGAACCCTTGTGCGCAGATCGCTTGTAAAGAGTTATCATCAAGGGTCATTACGAGGAGCTGATGGCTGTGGTTTTTTTGTTCCTTTGGTTCTGTGGCCGTTACGAGCGTTCATTACGTTCCTGGCCGTTGTCGTCTCCTTATTGTTGGCGTTTGTGAACCTGGCAAGCAAATAGGACGTTGTGGGCGCTTGCTGGCACTCGTGAGGCCGGCAAGTGTATAGGCCGTGGAGTCTGTTTTGCCAGTGGGCTGTCGATATGTGGGTTGGGCCTGGCCCGTTGGTGACGTGGTGGCCTCCCATTGGTGGCCGTTGATGTGGCCATTGGGAGGGTGCCACGTGTAGTGACCGTTGGGTGGGGGGTTCTATAAATACCCCTCCCCCTCCGACGAGAAACCTTATTTGCATTCTGAATTGTCGAAGTGCTGGCCAATTTTCTAGAGAGATAAACTCCCAAGCTTGTTCTTCGTATTCTTCGTGTTCAAGGTTAGTGTTCATCGCCATCTTCTGTACTTTGCATACTTTGCTTCCTAGGCTAGTGATCTAGTGTTTAGGCGTTTGAACACCCTTAGATCCTAAGTGATTCCTCTTAGGCTCGTAGTAGTTGTTATGATGAAAAGTTTGAACGAAGACTACTATCCGTACGACGACCAGCCCTCCACTAGGTCACTCGACTATGAGGTGCTCGAGGAGTTCGAGGAGGAGATAGAACATTTAAGCCCTTATAAGTCCGGGGAGCCGGTGGACGACGAAGGTGAGGACGAGGAGTCCGCCTCATCTTCAAAAGGTGAGGACGCAGCTGCGTCCCGAGTGGTGGACGGGGCGTCCACTTCAGCTGTTATTCCGTGCCCGAGGCCGGTGTCCACCGTTAAGGGAGCCGATAAGCCGAAGAGGATAAGGAGGCCGAAGAGTGGTCCTGGCGTCTCCTACCTGGATCTCACAAACATCTTTCTGATCAAGCCGGAGAGCAGCGTGGCCGACTACTTGGTTGCCCAGATGTACGTGGGGCCGTTCGGGCGGGTTAGGGCACCCAGGCCGACGGACCATGTTCTTCATCTGCCCCCGGGATACTTCGGAGTATACCCGATGAGTTTCGCCAAGGGGCTGAGGTTTCCCCTTCACCCCTTCATCACTGAATACCTTGACATGGTAGGGCTCCCTCCGGCCTTGCTGACGCCGAACAGCCATTCTTTGATGGTGGGGTTTTTGCTCCGCTGTGAGGAGCTGGGCTACAGGCCGACGACGGCCCTATTCATGAATCTGTATCAGATCGGCCGAGGAAGCCACAAAAACTGTGCGGCCTATGCTACTCTTCAACAGCTGCCGAAGAAGAGGAGCTTCACGGACTTGCCTTCGTCCATTCATGGGTGGAAGAGTAAGTTCGTTTTTGTATCCCTTGGTGAGAGTGGCACCGAGTTTCCCTCTCTCGGCCATACCGGGAGGTTCAATCTGCATGACCCGCCGAAGAGTTCTATCTTGGACGCTCAGGTGGAGGCTTTCTTGGAAGGGGGGCCGAGGAGCGTGAAGGATTATATCACTGAATACAAGATGACCGCCCTCGGCTTCTTGAGATACCATGTGTATGGCGATAAGGAGGATGATATCCAACTCTGGCCGAGGATGACCACCACCTTTGAAGAGGCCGACGGCCCGGATTTGGGCATTCCTGCTGAGGCCGATGGTAATTATTTCTCCGGCTTTCTTTCTTTATGATTTGTTCTTTTGCCTTGCTAATCTGTTGTTTTTTCCTTGTGTAGATTTTGTCATGGATCGTCGTTCCATCATGGCAATTGCTAAGGCCAAAGCGGCCGAGGAGTTGGCTGCAAAGGCGGCCGAGGCGGCCAGACGTGCCGCGGCCGAGGGAAGCGGGGCTACTGCTGGTGCGGCCCCAAAGCCTGCCCAATCCAAGAAGAAAAGGCCTCCCCCTGACGGCCAGAAGAAGTTGACTGAGGCCGGCCTGAACGTCACCAAGAAGACGAAGAGGGCGCTGTCTCCTTCCCAGGCTACTGAGGCCGACACTCTTACCGTCCCCAGTGTGGACGATAGTGGTCCTGTTGTGGACCTCACTGCTGCTCCTAGCGATGCTGCCCAATCGCTTCCTCTCGTCCAGGAGCCACGAACGAAGAGGGCCGGCAAGGAGATTGCCGGTGCCACCTACCAGAAGATGGTGGAATACCCCGTCGGCGGGGGTGTGTTTGATGATGTCGTCCTTGGCCACGACGTCCTGGCCCAGGCCATGCCGGCCAAGGATAGGGCCTATCTGAAGAGGCTCGGGGACGTGAAGGTATACGAAGGCGGGATGGACCTCCTCGTCCAAGTAAGTTTCCTTCCTTTCTATTTTTCGTCTTTCTCGTCGTCCGAGTGGAATCGTTTGCCTGAGTTTTGTTTGTCTTGTTTATGCAGGGTGCCTTCATGCTCATGGAGAGCCACAAGAGGCAATACCGGGAGATAGCTCGTCTGAAAGAGCTTGAGCAGAAAGCTGCCACGGCCGATGAGGCGGTCGCTTGCTTGGATAGGCTCCGGGAGGATGCCAAGGCCTTGCAACAGAAGGCCGACGAGATCGCCGCAGCCAGGGACGATGCCGTGGCCAAACTCGAAGAGAGCCAAAGGGCGCTTGAGGCCGAGCGGCGCAAGAGCGAGGATGCCGTGAAGGCAAAAGCTGAGGCCGAGGCTGCCGCTGTGAAGGCTGCTGATGAGGTCGCTGAGCAGTTCTTGGCCGATGGGTGGAAGGCCGATGAGCGGCTCCCCTGGTGTTATGAAGTGGTGGCCGCCAGGCTTGAAGATTGGGGGATGAACTCCCCCGCCGGCCAGGAGTATTTCAGCAGGGAGATGGCCGTGTACTATAACATGGGCCAGGAGCGGATGCAGAGGCTCCTGTGTCGGCGGCTATCTCGTGCTCTGAAGGCCATGAATTACACATCCGGGTGGGCTAGACGGAACTTGAAGCTTCCAAAGCTGATGAAAGATCCCGAAGAGCAGGCCAAGCTTCCTCTGTCGGAGCGGGAGTCCCCCATTGAGAGTTCCGGCCTCGGCGAGCCGGATTACACAGAGTTTGATTTCCTGGACGATGCCACCAGTGCTGCGGCTGCCGGCGGCCAGGAGGCTGAGGCCGAGGAGGGAGCCGAGGACGTCGAAGAGCCAGCTGCGGATGGAGGTGCCCAAGAGGCTTGATCGGCTGCTCCCCGCTCCCTTGTAATTAGCTTTTTCATTTTGTGCCCAATTGATGTAATGGCCGAAGCGCCCACAATTGTACTGAATTGATTATAAATGAAAATTTTTGATGCCCTGCTCGGCCATGAATTCCTTGTATGCTTATTTTCCTTTGCCATTTCAATTCTGAAATTTGTCTAAGTGTCAAGGTTATAACTTGGGTCACCCGCGAGTGTCCGCTACGTCCGTGAGGTAGTCCATCCCGTCCGGTGGCCTGGTCGGCCTGGCCGTCGTTTCTTTACTATCATAACACTTAGGATTTATTCAAAAAAATTCCTAAGTGTTTTGGGTCCACGTAGTTGCTTTCTTTCCGGCCTGGTGGCTTGGTCGGCCTGTCCGGTGTTGCTGTACTATCATAACACTTAAGTGCTTCCCTTTCCATCCCTGACCGTGGTGTCCGTTCCGTCCTGGCGTTGTCCCATTCTTCTTTTTTGTTAGAATTTTTCTAAGTGTTTAACTTCAAGTGGATGGGTGTTCTTATCGTCCTGGTATTGAATTTCTCCTCATTGTTGACAAATGCTTTGGGAGATTTCCCAAGTGTTGAACCAGTGTCGTTGTCGACCCAGTAATTTTCGTGGCCGTCGTGTTCACTTGCTTCTGATCTGATCAGGAAGGTCGGCCTGGATCCTCGTGATGTGGCCGATAAGGGCACCTTGGATATTTGCCTTTTTGAACTTAGAATTTTTCTAAGTACACATGCAAGGCGTAGGTAGCTAACGGCCTTGGAGTATACAGGTACCCGCTTCGTCTAGAGTTCCTCCATTTAAGTGTAAATGTAAGACATAGTTCCTTCTTTGTGGTACCGCTGCCGGCTAGGAGGTGGCCCTACCATCATCGGCCAAGGTCTCGCTTTGCGGCCGATGAGGGTGCCCTTTGCTTTCCCCAAGATAAGGCCCTACCTTCATCGGCTAAGGCATAGTTCCTTCTTGAGGAACTTTTTCTGTAGAATTTTCTCTAAGTGTTTGGTAGACACTTGAACAAATTCCCAAAGAGCTTTCGCTTGACCAACGGCCTGGGTTCCAGTGCCTGTAACGGCTATCCGGGATGCTGTTGCAAGTAGGGATTGTTTCTTGATTGCTTGATTCTTCCGTGGGTGTGATAAGTGCCCGCTTCGTCCTGGTCATCCTCAGGATTGTGATTCTTTGTTTCATACCAAGCGTTGGTGCTTCAAAGGACTGTGGCCGATGAAGGTTACCTCTCGCGTGTCACCCAACCGATTCGGTTAGGGTTTTATAGGCGTGTGTTTCGGCCGTGACAATTCCCTTGTGGTGTGTGGACGTGTCGTCCATGTTACCTGTCAGTGGTACTACACTTGTGTTCAACTGATATGTACTTGGCCTAGTCGGGCCTGTGTTGTGGGGATTTTGTTTTTTCATTGCTCGAGGCCGGCTAGTGTGCGCGGCCGTCGGCTTCCCTCTTTTTCCCTTATATATATATATATATATATATATATATATATATATATATATATATATATATATATATATATATATATATATATATATATATATATATATATATATATATATATTTTCGTTTTCGGGGAGTATCCTTCTTTCAGGCTTCGGCCGAAGGGTGTGCTCGTCCTTCAGCCGGTTCGGACTTCGTTTATAACGTCCGTGATCTCAGGGCGGGTCCCGTCGCCTATTTATGACGCGGGCTAGACTTTTGGTCGGTTTCCAACGGCTGTCGTTGCCCATCCCTGAGTTTTGGGATTTTGTCACCTCGGCCATGATTTCAGGCCTGTCGTCCTGTGATCTGGCGCGTGGACGGTGCGACGAGCTTCCCGTTTCAAGACGTGGGCCGTTTGCGGGCCCCTCGTCCTGGGGGCATCGTCGGCCATACCTGAGCGTTTCACTTCTAGGCTTACGGGGCCAGGACGATGTGCTCTCTCAGCTAGGCCTGAGCCCTTCACTGATACAAAATACAATGGGACGCCCGATCTTGTTGATCGTAGGCTGCAAGTGCGAGGGGCCCCGTCGGCCATGCCTGAGCCTTTTGCTCTGAGGTGGCCGATGAGGGCACCTGCTAACGTTTTTTACTTTAAATTCCAGAGAACAAATCAGGAGGAACACGATTTTATTCATAAGTGGCTCGAGGCCGAGGGTGGCGTTCAATCAGTAACCCGTTAAGGGGTGAGGGCTTCGCCATCTGCACCTCCTTCGGATTACTGATAAAACTTCACCAGATGGTGTACATTCCACGTTTGTGGTACATTGGACCCATTCGGGCGTTTAAGCTTGTAGGTGCCGGGTTTGACCACGGCACAGACGATGTAGGGCCCTTCGTACTTCAATGCTAGCTTGCCACCCTCTGTCGGCTGGCTAGCTTCCCTTCGGCGGAGGACGTAGTCCCCCACCTGAAATTCCCGGGAACGTACCTTGGCGTCATAGTATGATTTTACTTGACGCCGGTAGTTCTCTGCTCGGACGTAAGCTTGCTCACGCCTCTCATCGACCAGGTGTAGGTCAATCTTCATGTTCTCCTCGTTGGCGTCAGGTTCATATTGTTCCACCCGTCGGCTGGGGATGGCAACTTCCGTGGGCGCCTTTGCCTCGAAGCCGTAGCATAGGGCAAAAGGCGTTTCACCTGTCGCCCTCCTCGGCGTGGTTCTGTAGCACCACAGGATGTTGGGGAGCTCGTCGACCCAACTACCTCCTGCGGCCTGGAGCTTCTTCTTCAGCCCCTCCATGATTGTTCTGTTGGCGTTCTCGACCTGCCCGTTGCCCTGAGGGTAGGCAACGGAGGAGAAACGATGCTTCACTCCAAACTCCCGGAGGAGCTCCTGGAAAGGGGCTGCCTCGAATTGGGTGTCGTTGTCTGATATAATCTCCTGGGGGACGCCGAAGCATGTGACGATGTTCTTGTAAACAAATTTTTGGCATCTGGCCCCCGTGATGCTGGCCAGGGGTTCCGCCTCGACCCACTTGGTGAAGTAGTCGACGGTGACGATGACGTAGCGGTTATTCCCGGCGGCTCTGGGCAGGGGGCCGACCCGGTCAATCCCCCATCTAGAGAATGGAATTGCGGTGCTGACGGGGGCGTAGTTGACGGGTGGCCGACCAGGGGCCTTCTGGAGCACCTGGCATGTGGTACATTTCCTGGCCAGGTCAGCGCAGTCTCGTGCCATCGTCGGCCAGAAGAAGCCCTGGACGACGAGACACCGGGACATGCTGAAAGGGCCCTGGTGCGAGGAGCAAACACCACAATGAACCTCTTCCATGGCCACGCCGGCCTCGTCCTGGTGCAGGCACCGGAGGAGAGTGCCATTATAGGACCGTTTGTAGAGTTTGCCATCTTCGATGGTGTAGCTTGGGGCCCTGAGTTTGGCAAGTTTGGCCCTCTCCTCGTCCGGGGGTAGCTCCCCTGTTGTGATGAAGGTGACGATGTCGGAGATCCAGTCCTCTGGTCGATGTTGGACGCACAAGACGGGGCTGGCATGGATGCTGGACATGCTCAACTCCTCGATCTTGGCCAGCCGGGAGATGTGCTCCGGGGTGTCCGAGCTGAGTTTGGAGAGGATGTCGGCCTCGGTGTTCTCGGCCCTTGGGATCTGTGTGATCTCGTGGGTTTCGAACGCCTTCAGTAGCTCCTCCGCCGCTTGTTTGTACTGCTTCATTCGACCTTCCTTTGCTTCGTACGATCCCTCCACCTGACCCACTACCAGTTTGGAGTCGCACTTGATTTTGAGGTGCTTGGCCTTGAGGCCGGCGGCGAGTCTGAGGCCGCTGAGGAGGGCCTCATACTCGGCTTCGTTGTTGGACACCCTGAAGTTGAAGCGGATGGCATAGTAAGCTCTGAATCCTTCAAGGGATATGAGGACGACGCCGCCACCGCATGATTTCGCGGCCGACGAGCCGTCAGTGAATAGGATCCATGTATCGTCCGGCTCCGGCCCGGGGTTGGCGACGGCCGTCTCCCTTGCTGTGCATTCAGTGACGAAGTCGGCCAAGGCTTTCCCTTTGATAGATGGCCTTGGCTTGATCTCAATTTGAAATTGGCTGAGGAAAATTGCCCATTTCACCATCCTAGAGGAGCTGGTGGGGCTCCTCATGAGTGCGGCGAGGGGCTGCTGGGTCAGTACATAGACGGCGTGGGCCTGGAAGTAGTGTCCCAGCTTCTTCACCGTATGGACGATGGCCATCACCGTCTTCTCAATGGGGGAGTACCTGAGCTGAGCCTCCCTGAGTGTCTTGCTGATGTAGAAGATGACCTTTTGCACCCCTTCGTCCTCACGGATGAGCACGGAGCTGATGGGCGACGTGCTCACCCCTAAGTACAAGAAGAGAGTTTCGCCGGCTTTGGGCTTGGAGAGCACGGGTGGGGACGACAGGTACCTTTTCAATTCGTCGAACGCTTCCTGGCACTCCGTCGTCCACTTGAAGCTGTTGGTTTTACGCATGATCTGAAAGAAGGGGAGTGCCCTCTCGGCTGACCTGGAGAGGAACCGGTTTAGGGCCGCCAGGCGCCCCGTCAGTCGCTGTACTTCCTTGACGTTGCGGGGCGGCTCCATATTGATGATAGCCTGTGTCTTCTCCGGGTTTATCTCGATGCCTCTCCGGCTGACCATGTAGCCGGCGGAGCCTGAACTCCTTCATGATTTCAAATATTTCCCGGAGGTCGTCGGCGTGGGAGGAGGCCTGCCTGCTCTTGACGATCATGTCATCGACGTATGCCTCCATCGTCCGGCCAAGGACCGCTCTGAAGATCTTGGCCACCATCCTAGTGTAGGTGGCGCCGGAGTTTTTTAGTCCGAAGGCCATGACGAGGTAGCAAAAGATTCCCTCTGGGGTCATGAATGCCGTCTTCTCAGCGTCATCTTCGTGCATGGAGATTTGGTGGTACCCTCTGAAAGCGTCGAGGAACGACATCAACTCGCACCCCGCCGTCTCGTCCACCAGCTTATCAATGTTGGGGAGAAGGAACGGGTCCATGGGGCACGCCTTGTCCAATTCGGTGTAATCAACACACATTCTGAACGTCGGCGGTTTCTGGGCGAGGACGACGTTGGCCAACCATGTTGGGTACTTTACCTCTTTAATGTGTTTGATTGAGAGCAGCATGACGTCCTCCCCTTTGACGAAGTCCCGCCTGTCGGCGGACAAGTAGCGCCGCTTCTGTTTGACAGGCGCAGAGGCCGGATCGACGGTCAGCCG